GCCCCCCCAAACAGAGACTCCCCCACCTGAGACTCCCCCAGCGCGGGCAGTGCTGGGGGAGCTGAGGGTCTCCAGCGTCACCCCCAACTCTGTGGGGCTGCAGTGGAACGTCCCCGAGGGCCCCTTTGACTCCTTCACGCTGCAGTTCCGGGATGCCCAGGGCCAGCCCCAGGCCCTGCCCATGGATGGTGGGTCCCGCTGGGTGACGGTGCCGGGGCTGTCCCCATCCCACCGGTACCGCTTCCACCTCTACGGGCTGCGGGGTGGGAAGAGGATCCACCACGTGGCCACTGAGGCCACCACAGGTGAGGGGGAAGGGCAGAGGGATCGATTATTTATGGCATCCTATCCTCATCTCATTCCCACCCACCGTCAAGGAACCACTGAGCTCCGTACCATCCAATTGATCATCGACCCCTCAACCACCCATTGACCAACACCTGCTGCCATCCCCCATCCTCTTCATCATTCCCCATCACCACAATGGCCTTCACCCTTCATCGTTATTCTCATTCACCGTCCATCAATACAATGATCATCATCCATCTTCATCATCATCATCCTCATCATCATCCTCATCGTCCATCCATGATGGATCAAGAACAGAATGGCTGAGTGGATTTCAGAGTGCATGGTGTGGGTGGGTTCCTGCCCAGATTGATGGCAGGAGGTGGATGGGTGGATGAATAGTTGACTGAATGTGGGAAAGCCAGGATGGATGGAGCTTTCCTGGTGTCTGTATGTGTGTTCTTATGGTGCAAGATTGTCCATGGGAAATGGGAATGGCAGGGGTAGAGCCTGGACTGATGTGAGGAGAAAGAACCAGAGATATGGATGTGGGATGATGTGTGGAGTTGGGATGGGTGCGAGAGAGGATGGAAGCAAGGAATGGATGGATGGATGGGTGGATGGAATGGTGGATGGATGGATGGATGGGTGGATGGATGGATGGATGGATGGATGGAGGGATGGACGGATGACACATGTAGGGCAGTCTGTGGTGATTTGGAAGATCAGATCAATGAGTTGATGGTTGGATGATCCAATGGAGGGAGAAGTTAAGGAGCTGAAAGAGAAAAGGAGTGAAAAGATGTGATGGGAGTGATGGGAATGATGGATGGATAAGAGTTATGGATCACAGATGGAGGTGTGCTTAGGTAGATGATGCATGGATAGGTGAATGGACAAGCAGATGGCCATGCCCATCACCATCCCCCCTCCTTCACAGCCACAGCAGAGCCAGAGCAGTCACCCTTGCCCTCCGAGGAACCTCAACCTGAGCCCCCCCAA